CCTGCACTCCTAGAATGGATCATGCTACGTGCTGATGGAATTTTAAGAGAATTTAGCTTTCAAACTCCAACAAGTTTCTACTGAGCATGTGGAAACCGAGATGGAAAAGTTCATCCAGAATGGCTAAAGTTTGGCAAAGTTATAAGCAACTGAAAACAAAGTAATATAATGGCAGTATTGCTAACCTAACCTTCAAAAATCATGAGCCAGACCCCAAAAATAATGAGATTTATTTTTGAACTCCCTCCCTCCATCCCCAATTTGTGTATAGCAATTTAACAGTGTTAACAATTCTCCCAAATTTAAACAGTAACGTGATTTTGGCCGCCTTTGGGAGCTGTGGGTGGAGGACCCAAATGAGTTTAAATGATAAAGATGTATATAAAATGCTGCCTGATAGAAGCGTGCAGCTTATCCTCAAGCACAAAATATCTAAATAATTAATTCTGTTCCTACCCACACAACTGTCTGTCCTCCAGCCCAGCAATGAATTATGAACCCCCAACTCCCAATTTTAACCTGTTGGTCCCACATCTGTCCCTTGTCTCTCATAAAATCATAGAAATGTAAGACTGGAAGGGACCTCAAGAGATATAGTCCAGTCCCCTGCTCTGAGTCAGGATTAAGTATTATCTAGACCAGTGTTTCTCAACCTTTTTGATACTAGGGACCTGCTTGCTGCCTTCCTAAACTGTATCTGGGAGATATCAGGCACCTGCACCAGTCCATGAATTGGCTGTTGAGAAACACTGATCAAGACCATCTATGACAGCTGTTTGTCTAATCTGTTCTTAAAAACTTCCAGTAATGGAGATTCCACAACTTTTCTAGGTAATTTGTTTCAGTGCTTTATTAAACTTACAGTTACGGAACTTTTCCTAATATCTAACCTAAAGCTTCCTTGCTGCAATTTAAGCCCATTGTTTCTTGTCCTGTCCTCACTAGATAAGGAGAACAATTTATCACCTTCCTCTTTGTAAGAACTTTTTACATACTTGAAGACTGTTATCATGTTCCTTTCTTCCTCTCCCCTCCCCTCCCCCCAGACTGAACAAACCCACTTTTTTCAATCTTTCCTTGTAGGTCATATTTTTTAGAACTTTAATAATTTTTGTTGCTTTCCTCTGGACAGTCTTCAGTCTGTCCACATTTTTCCCAATGTGTGGTGCCCAGAACTGGACACAGTACTCTAGCTGAGGCCTTATCAGTGCAGAGTAGAGTAGAAGAATTACTTCTCCTGTCTTGTTTACAACACTCCTGTTAATACATCCTAGAATGATGTTTGCTCGTTTTGCAACAGTATTACATTGTGGAGTCATATTTCATTTGTGATCCACTATCACCCCCAGATCCTCTTCTGCAGTTCTCATTTCTAGGAAGTCATTTCCCACTTTGTATTTATGGGAATGATTATTACTTCCTACATGTAGTAACTTGCATTTGGCCACATTGAATTCCATCCTATTTATTTCAGATCATTTCTCAAGTTTGTCAAGATCATTTTGGATTCGAACCCTGTCCCAAAAAAATACTCAACAACTCCCAACTTAGTATCAACTGCAAACAATATAAGCCATTATCCAAACCATTTATGAAGATATTGAATGGAACCAGACCCAGGACAGATCCCTAAAGGGACCCCACTCAATATGCCCTTCCGGCTTCACTGTGAACCATTGATAACAACTATCTGAGAATGGTTTTCCAACCAGTTATGGACCCACCTCACAATAGGTTCATCTAGGCTATATTTCCCTAATTTGCTAATGGGACGGTCATGTGATACAGTATCAAAAACTTTACTAAAGTTGAGACATATCACATTTACTGCTTCTCCCCTACCCACAAAGCTTGTTACCCCGTAAAAGAAGTATATAGGTTGGTTTGACATGATTTGTTCATGACAAATCCATCTTGTCTGTTAGGTATCACCTTTTTATCTTCTAGGTGCTCACATACTGATTGTGTGATTATTTGCTCCATTATCTTTCCGGGTAACAAAGTTAGGCTGACTGGCCTATAATTCCCTGGGTTGTCTTGATTCCCCTTTTTATGGATAGGTACCATATTTGCTCTTTTCCACTCCTCTGGGATCTCTCCCGTCCTCCATGAGTTCTCAGAGATAATCACTAGTGGATCAGAGATCTCACCAGCCAGTTCCTTAAGAATTCTAGGGGTGTATTTCATCAGGCCCTGCTGACTTGAAGACATTTAACTTGTCTAAATAATTCTTAACTTGTTCTTTCCCCCACTTTAGCCTCAGATCCTACCCAATTTACACTGATGTTTACTATGTCAGTTTTCCAATTACTGCTATCCTTTTTGGTGAAAACTGAAACAAAAAAGGCATTTAACCCTTCAGCCATCTGCATTTTCTGTTACTGTCTTTCCCTCCTCATTGAGTAATGAGCCTACCCTGTCCTCGGTATTCCTCTTGCTTCCAATGTATTTGCAAAATGTTTTCTTGTTACCCTTTATGTCCCTAGCTAGTTTAAGTACATTTTGTGCTTTGGCTTTTCTAACCTTTTCCCTACATGTTTGTGGGTTTTTTCATATTAATCTTTCATAATTTGACCTACTTCCTACTTTTTGCATGACTTCTTTTGAGTTTGAAGTCACAGAAGATCTCCTTGTTAAGCCAAGATGGTATCATACCATACTTTCCTATGCACTGGGATAGTTTGCTTTTGTGCCCTAAATGATGTCTCTTTAAAAACCGCCAACTCTCCTGAACTCTTTTTTCCCTTAGACTTGTGCAGTGCACTTCTGTTCTTCTTGCCGCTCACAGTATTCTTCACACCCAGTCCACCTGACCTGGGTGACAGTTGCAGGAAAGTCCTTTTCTCGTTCTTCCCAGGTTTGCCATGGTGTCACAGGAATGGAGCTGGGCCTGGAAGCAAGGGTGGGAGAAGCAGAGAGCAGACTGACCCATTATTCACAGGAGGAGAGGGGGGACAAAAGAGTGGAGCCCCCTGAGCTGTTCAGTACTTTCTGCTACCTCATGCCCCCTTTCCTCCTGTCAGAATGGGGTCAGCTACTCCTTCGCCTTCTCTCCTATCCAAAAACTCCTTTCACTTCTGAGAGGAGAGCAGAGAGATCTGCTTGCCTCCTGCAGCAGCCCTGATTGGCTCTTCTTGCCCAAGAGGCAGGGAAATGGAGAAAACAGTCAATCAGATGGAGTTTGCCCCCTGGCAGGGCTGGAAATCACTTGAAAGCTGGTCCTTCTGGAGATGATGCAAGACTGCGACTAAAATCATGTCACAAACTATGAATTTACAAGAGTTGGCAACTATATAATGGGAAGGCTCAGGTAACCTTATCTACAAGCGGTGCTAGAAGCTCCACTTGTAATATAGCTAGATTCTGATACTCACTCATACTGAGTAGTAATTTACTCCTTGTATAGTCCCATTGAATAAGGTACAATTTGATGTTAAAATTAATTTCTTTGAATCACAGTTCATCTTCAAATACTGGATTTCAGAATCATTTCCTCTATATCTTACCGGAATAAATACATTACATCAGATGTTAACAATAATTTATAATAATTATTTATGAAAATCCATCATTTGATTCATTATACTTAGCAACTGTACTAATAAAGCCTGTCAAAAGCCACTTTCTGTTCAACACACAAAGATTAATTGCTCCAAATTTTCCAAAAGCAATTTCTATAACAAATTTTGTTTTTCCAGAACAGGGTCATTGGTCCCAATTTATAAAGATTGTATGGTATTATTAGCATAATTACTTCAGACAACAAATATTTAAAATTAAATTCAGATGGTGATGAAACTCAATAAGCTAATTGTAAAACTTGTTGTCCACAGGGCTGCCATTTTTTTCCTGGTGCAGTCATTTTGTTAAGAATTACAATAAAAGCTGAGTTAAGTCGTAAGCCTAATGAGCAGGAGGTTTTAATAGCAATCACCCCATGAATCCAGAAAGTAAGTAATCAAGTAAACAATTTTGCAAACAATGCAGGGGCTCAACCCAGTGGATCATGTTGAGTGCTGACAACTCCGCTAGCTTGGATCCTGTCGTGGCAAATACTACTTCTACACTGAAAAAGCAATGCAACCAGCCTCCTCCCTACTGCAGGATGAAAGGGAGAGTAAGACCTGATTAATATGTATTCTGATTTATCTATATGTCACTCTCAGCACTGTAATGATTGCAGTGGTAACCAAAAGGACAGAAAGTGCAGTATTTACAGAAGGCGTGCTCATCCATTTTGTGTTTTAATTACAAATGAAAATGAGAGATCTAATGCTGTTAGCACCTTCAATGACACATTCAGAGGAGAACTGTGAGCAAAGTTTGTACACTTGTTTGTATTAGCCTGTCTGAGATGTATTTCATCTCGTTTCTGCTCCCTGCCTTTGTCTATTTAATTCAGAATTAGAGCTGTCCTATAAGATCTCCCAGACAGCATGGCAGATTTTAAGAACAGCAGAGATATTCTAGAGGCCTGACACTGACTGATGAGAATGTAGCAGTGTTCATCCTGCAGCTGAGGATGGTCAGATACATGTTCTGCTGGTTTAATAGTTTGTGGCATCACTCAGTGCCCATGCTGAGTAGCAGTGGAAAGCTTTTTATTTTATTATATTTTTAAACCATGTGAGTCAGTTCACAGTTCATGAAAGAGAGAGACTAACTGCACTGAAAAGAGTATAGTATAGTGAGGTCAAACACTGGGCAAGTTTCAATACAGAGCTCCGCCAATGCACTTTAATCCTTCTCGACCTTTAATATTGCTATCGTTCCAGACCTGGGACTCTTCTGAGCTGAAATTGCCAGTTGTACAATCAATCAAACTGTCTATTGATTTCTGGACAAATATTGATAGGCAACCAGGCAGAGGGCAATACATTCATTTTCACATGGTGCCAATGTGTGATATAAACAAAAACTTCCAGAAGTAAAGGGCTTGTGTGGTATTTTTTCCCTTTTTTGGAAAATTTGTTTGGAAGAGGAGGGGAAATGCTCCTTACCTTTATACATTATAACAGGGTGCTCAGATCGCTGGCACTGGGAATCTTCTGTAGCTGCTGACACTAAGATTCCTATGACTCCCAAACCTGCAACCAGCAATGCAACCAGACCATTTCCCTTCATGGTGGTCATGTCGTCCTCTGCACTAGTCACTTTTCCTTTAACTGGCAACTCTCCTTGTGTTCATGTGTGGAAAGAACCTGAAGAATGCAAAGAAAAGAATTCAATGACACCGAGGACGGCTAATAGAAAACAAAACAATCGGTTAGGTTTGAAATGGAAAATAATCCTTTGTTTTCCTTCCCTGTGGAGTTTGACTTCTCAAAAATGAATGACAACTTTTTGTAATTTTACATCAGAAAATTGTCAATTACGTTTCCATGAACTTGGGAATTAATGAAAAAGACATGTTTTTATCTACCATTTGCATGCAGATAAATTTTGTTTTCTTGTATTTTAAATTTATATTTTTCCCACTTTGTGACATGTGCGGGAGGAGAGGTTTACACATATAACATTTTCTTTTAGAAGCAAAACAGCAGTATTTTCTTAAGTTAGAATATGCTATATTTATTAAATCAGCTTTAGAAACTATAATCCAAGCAGTCTTTTAAAACAACTCATGTAACCTAGTCAAATTACTTATGTGTTCTGGGCTAAACCATTCCATGCCAAGGCTATTTCCACAAAAGATACTGGAAATCAAGTTTGCACTCACAGAAGGCTCAATTCTGCACCACTCAAGTCAATAGGAATCTTGCCAGCAACTTCAATGGAAACAGACCCACAGTTTTCATCTGATTGTTTCCATGTGACAGTCAGATTTACTATCCTGCAGAACCCAAAGAAGTGTCACCCCCCCCCCCGCCAAAAAAACACATTATTTTCCAGAGACCTGCAGAGATCTCAAGGGCTGTACCAAAGTACCTCTGTGTTACCTCCTACCCACTGAATTCCATGGCATCCAGCTCCTAAAGAAATCATGCTCCCATGAGTTTAGCACACTGGCCATTGCCCTCCAAAGCTCTCTGAAAGTGGGTTTTGGCTGTGCTCAGTGAAGGGAGACCTAGTATAAGTTAATGCTGATGAGGTCAGTAGTTACACAAGGTATCCCCATAGGGCTGCGGGGAGGGATGAGATGCTACATTGTAGCCATTTTCTCCTCCACCACTACCCTATCCCAGCAACCTCCCAGCCCCCAAACCTTCTGGTGACTGACACAGAGCTGCTACTGCCTCACCCTCACTTAGATCCACTGCTGCTTGGTCCACTCTTCTCACTAAAGCAAAGAGGAGCATTTGCCCCTGTAGTGAGGCGGTATGGCTCCCCGCCGCCCCGGAGAGGGACAAGCCCATCCGGAGGCCGGAGTGGGCAGAGCTAGAGAGCTCTGAGCCTGCCCCTCAGAGGGTCAGGCGGCGACCCGGAAGTATAAAGGCTCAGCCTCAGAGCTCATTGGAGGGCCAGCCGCCGGGGAGGCCATAAGAACATAAGAACGGCCGTACTGGGTCAGACTAAAGATCCATCTAGGCAGTATCCTGTCTACCGACAGTGGCCAATGCCAGGTGCCCCAGAGGGAGTGAATCTAACAGGTAATGATCAAGTGATCTCTCTCCTGTCATCCATCTCCACTCTCTGACAAACAGAGGCTAGAGACACCATTCCTTACCCATCGTGGCTAATAGCCATTAAAGGACTTAACCTCCATGAATTTATCCCGTTCTCTTTTAAATGCTGTTATAGTCCTAGCCTTCACAACCTCCTCAGGAAAGGAGTTCCACAAGTTGACTGTACACTGTGTGAAGAAGAACTTCCTTTTATTTGTTTTAAACCTGCTGCCTATTAATTTCATTGGTGACCCCTAGTTCTTGTATTATGGGAATAAGTAAATAACTTTTCCTTATCTACTTTCTCCACATCACTCATAATTTTATATACCTCTATCATATCCCCCCTTAGTCTCCTCTTTTCCAAGCTGAAAAATCCTATCCTTTTTAATCTCTCCTCATATGGGACCCTTTCCAAACCCCTAATCATTTTAGTTGCTCTTCTCTGAACCTTTTCCAGTGTCAGTATAGGCCAGATGCCTCCAGCCTAGCCCGCGACTGGGAAACCCCTGCGGCCCAATGTGTAGGCCAGGACTGGCCTGACTTGCCCTGCGCTCGCTACCCAGAGGAGTTGCCGGGCCTGCTGCTCGCCCACTATCCCGAGGAACCCATGGTGCTGGACCCCCCAGAGGAAAACACCCTGACCCAGGTACTACCCGAGGGGGAGTCTGGAAGTAGCCGGGGGCAGCCGACCCTAGTCTGGCTGCAGCACTGCCAGAGCCCATGTCAGTGTTTTGGGGCCAGGATCCCCACTGACACAGTAGCAGGTCTTCTGCCGCTGCTAGGGCCCCGGGCTGGGACGCAGTGGGGTGGGAGGGCCTGTGTCCCCCCCGCCACCCAACTCACGGGTGGCAGTCTCCCCCGCTCCCAGGCCTTTTGGAGGCTTGGGCCTACTGTTATTGCTCAGCCCTGCCTGAGCTCCTGGCTCATTACTGTTTGTACTGTTACTGCTCAGCCCTGCCTGAGGGCCTGAGCCCCCAACTCATTGTTGCCCCACCCTGACCTAGGGCCTGGCCTCCCTATTGCTTGTACTGTCACTGCTCAGCCCTGCCTGAGCTCCTGACTCATCATTATTGCCCCGCCCTGTCACAGGGCCTGGGCTTATTGATACTGTTTATACTGCCACTGCTCAGCTCCTGCCGGTGGGCCTGAGCACCTGACTCATTGTTGCCCCACCCTGACCCAGAGCCTGGGCTTACGGTGCTTATTCCAGTTACCGCAAGAGCTGCCGAGGGAGACTCCCGCGGCCGGACTAATTCCCCCCAAACATCAACTACGTGTAGTGAGCGGGTGTGGCTCCCTGCCACCCCAGAGAGGGTTGAGCCCCAGCTAACCTCTTACAGCCCCATACTAAGCATATCAAAGAAAAGACATTCTACTTTCATTTTACTCAATATATTACTTGTGAAATTTGCCAGACTGACAACCCTGGCAGGATGTATTTTCTGCCTGTCCACAGAATTCTATATCACAGGCACCAGCAGGGCAAGGTGGCTCAGCCTACAGGTATATCTCTAGGTATGTGAGATTTGTTCAGTCTCCATGTTTAGTCAATCCCTGACTGCTTTGATGAGACTGCCCACAAGATTGCCTATTGTGATGATGTTCTAACAGTGAGAACACCTTTCTAATAAGATCTGGACAGAGATCAACAACTTGTTTTACACAGACCACCAAACAGTGATGACTTTCAGTCAGTACCCATTTGGGTCAAATTCAAGCTAGTGACCTACAAGTGAGAAGCCCCATATTACAGTAATTAATAATCCCTTGAAACATCCACTAACCACAGATTGTATTTTGTAACTGGCAGAATACTCACAACACTAAATGTATTCAGGATCAAATCCAATTCTATTAGATCTACCATAAGTAAATATTCCAAGCACTAACAACTTAACACAATAATTCAAAGATCTTGTGCTGCAAGCAGCTTAACTGAGCCATTCACCAAAATTAATCATTGGTGACAATGCTAAGAACTGGCATATAGCATGTGTGATTTCATTGAGCTGCTCTGCATAGTTTAATAAAGATAACGCATAAACGTTTCTGATTTATATGATACAAACCATATCAAACAAATACATATTTATGAAAATATCCTTCCTGTGATGTGCATACATGCATAACACCCATTATCACTAATAAGAGTTATGCACACATATCAAGAGAAGCATCTATCTCTCTGTGTGCAGTAAGCTAACTGTACTGTATTAGGATTTGTTTTATTTTTAAATACGACTAGTGGATGAACAGCAATAGGTAAAATTAGGAAAAGTTTGACCTCAGACTTTGGGGGGGGAGGGGAGGGAAGCAAAGAATGAGATCAGACTTCAAAGAAGCATTCTTGCTGGTTTTAAAGGAAATTAAATAAGGGGGGAAATGTCAAATAGGGAGATACAGTATGGTTAAGAATAAATATCTTTAGCATTGTGGGAAGTTAAAGATCACAAATCGTTAACAGAATATCTAGATATAATTTATTTTATAAAAGTCTATCTATCACATGTCTTAGACATTATTTAATCATGGACTATTGATACAATTAACATTTGTCACCACTGCATTGTAAGCATATTTTGGTGAGCCTACATGAGTACATTTGTTTCTTTTAAAAAGGAATTAAATTCACTCTATTATCCCTAATACAAAGGCATCCTACAATAAAATTATAACAGAGTATCCCACTACATTTGTGCAGCATTTAGCAGAAATTATTTTTAAAAGGACAAACCATATAATTTTAAAACACTTTGCAACCTTTTAGAAATAAATGAAGATCATTTTAAAAGATACCTTTAAATTCATGCAAGCAAAATCATTCCAATCAAATTTTTCACTTAGTTAAAATGCTTACGGTAAGTGGAAGTAAAAACACTGATTATGTTCAAAATCATACTTTGTTAGAAATAAAATTCTAACACAGGCCAGATTCTATGAGGTGCAGAGTGTCTTCAGTTCCTCTGATTTCAGTGATAGTCTGAAAGCATTCAGGACCTTTCAAGAAGCACTAAGCATCTGTACAGGACAGGACCCTAGTTGTGTTCCTCTCAAAGACATAAATCGCTATTCTGACCTGGGCTGTATTCCCCAAACCTTCGTCTCAACAGGATTTTTTCTGAGGAAAGAATCCATAGCATTTTTTTAAACCCCAGCATGCCGGTTTCACTATATCCACCATCCCAATGCACCTGCTAGTGGATCATGGCTGGTGATACCATACAGGAACATGGCAACAATCCAGTTTAGGCAAGGAAGTGAAGACTTATGTGGAAAGCAGACCTAAAACTTCTGCATTTACCAAACATGCCATGAGATCTTTCATGAACAGAAATACTGTAATCAGGCCAAAAGTTTTAGAGCCTTATCTGAAAGATGGTTTGACCAGCAACACACTGTACTATACCAATACACATTATCATTAGTTGAGTACACATTCATGGGGAAGAGCATCCTAACTGAATCACCCACACTATTTCCTGCAGGATTCTAGTGTTCTTAAGAAGCTTGCTCTCTATGTGCTGACAAAGTCTAACTCTAATTAATTTAGATCACAACTGGAGATAGTATAGCTGCAGACATAACTGAACTGA